ACATTATGGATTATGGACTGTTTGCAAGAAAAACTGTCATTAATCATTTAGAAGGAAAATTTTTTTATATATTTCACATAGAACGACAAAAAATATTATAGTTATACTTAAAAAAGAAATATAATTTTTTTATCTTAATAGGATAGGAAATAATTTGATAGACAATTTTAGTAAGCAAACTTAGTATCATGTATTGCCTATCTCACTATCGCTGATATCAACATGAAAAAAAATCCACTTATTTTCTTTAATTGAAAGTTTGCGGAATACAAGCGGTGAAAATACATCCCTCATATCCATTTTTATCAATATAGATTAACTTTCATTCAACTTGTTTTAAATTTTTTCTAGTTTTATCCTGCTGAAAATTTTTCTCATAAGTTTTATAAAAACTCGAATATTTTTCAGAAATATTGAGAAAGTCTGTATCTTTTCTTGGAATTTATCATATAAAATATAAGTTCTAAGAAAATTTTGAAATATTTTTATTTCATTTTGTAATTTCTGAAGAAGTATTTAAAAATTTTCAGATTTGATAAGATTTTATTAAAAGTTATAAAAGGAGAAAACTTAGAATATTTCAACAACACAAAACTAAGAATTTACATATGAAAAATTCTAAAAAAAGATGCTTTTTCAGCATTTTGTAAAGTGTTTCAATTTATATATTCTGAGAAATTTGTTTGTAAAAGATTATAAAATCTAGAAATTTCTATAAAAATTCTGAAAAATTATATGAAATATGTTGAGAATTTTCACTATAAGGATTACAAAAAAATAAAATGAAATCAATGAATGAAATCAAAATTAAAGTTAATCTACATTGAAATAAGATCTACATAGAAATAATTATTAAGATACAATATATTTTAAAGATACAATATATTTTAATCATTAAAACGATATATATGATATCACAGATATCGTTTGCACATATTTAAGTAATGGATACATTCAATCTTCACCCGCTGGTATTGCATCTTCTAACCTTTTAACAAATTTCACACGCAGTTCGGTCAAATTGTCGTTCTTAAGCTGATCCTGAATAAACCAGCAGGCGATTTCCATTTGCACCATTTCACAGGCTCCTCTGAGCACGCCAGGCAATATATTACAGTATTTGAGATTCGAATAATTATCCGGTAATTCCACGAATTCCGTTAGTGGATTCGTTTCGAAGCACAGAGAGAATTCGTCACCAGCTGGGCTCCAATTCGTAATCGATGGCGTTATGCCTAGGAATATTTTGAAGCCACTCTGAATCTTCTCCGCTGTATCCCTAAAATCATAGCATCGGCCGGAACCAGTCCTTGCAAGAAAATCCTCTATCAATCGTATTCCAATGTTATAACCCATTCTTTCCAGTTGCTTGTTAACATCCTCCATGTTGTCATAGTCCTGGAGTAACTGAGCCACAATCGAACCATAAGTTAAGGTGAACAATTCAGAGTTCTGTAACAAAAAAAGATTAAAAAAATCAATTTAATCCTTTGTATATTGTAATAAATTACAAAAAAGATCTCAAAAAAGATATCGTTATAAATTTGAGTAATTTTGATAAAAAATTACAAATATATAATTTTTATTGTAATAGTAGTTGTAATGTTAAAAATGCTATATCCTATATATATATGTCGGATCTTAGACTTAATGAGTGAAGTTGACCAATTAGTCGTACAAATTGGCTATTGGGCAACTTCATCGATTAAGTCTAAAACTTCCGATTACAGACTCATTGTAGACCTGGCAATAGTTAGTCTAAAAGATATATGAAAAAGGACACATGGCACATCATAATCTCAAGACTCCATTTGATACTAATCTTATATTCGAAATGAATAAGAATGGTTTTTTAAGCAGATTATTAATGGCGAACTGATATCACATAACAAATATTTCAAAATAGCACGACACTTGCCACTTTCTTTGCATCGAGTTTCGTTCCTGTTCGTGACATGTTGACAATTGATTATCTTCTTCCTGCTTAATTGCTTAATAGTTCCTGTCAGAGCTGTCGGAGCCTCCTGTTGAAAATCAAAGACAATATGGCCAGACCTTGTCTATGTAGAGGTCGCAGTTCGCAGCAAAACTGTGACTTTTCGTAAGAACGAAAACTCCGAATTGGGATCTCACCAACTCCGATTAATCTAATCGGTCGATCAACTGTGATTAGTCAATTCTTCTGAACAGCAAATGCGATTGGTTAGTTCCAATGAGTTTGAATTTCAGAATCAGGACAATTAAAAATAACGTGGAGAAGGTCTTGACTACACGTGCAGTGATCCTCGATTAAATTCTTGCAAAAGAGGCTGTGATTTAAACTAAAATAATTGCGGAGGCGATTTAATCACAATCGGCAATAAATGCATGTGTTCTTTCTGAATAAAACCAAGCAGAGCTTCTTTGGCTAGTAATATGATTAAAAGTTAAAAATTTATTTAACATTTTTTTTATTTTAGTGTTTTTTTATAATTGAGTTTTTAAAAATATACATTTTGCTCCTTTTTATTATTTATTTTTGAGAAAATATATTTTTGAGAAAATATATCTAATATTTAATAGTACTCTCAAACAATTAAGTTGATAAAAACTGCAGTACAACAAGAAAAAATATAACATATATTTTTTTCTTTAAATATTTCAATTTTTGATAAAGTTTGTACGTAAAGGACAGTAGAATTAAGGGAGGCAAGACAAAAGTGTAATATAAGTTCGTACTATTTATTATGATGTGATCGCTTTAGTGAGATTTGCTACAAGTGCCCCTGACTTTATTTTCTATAGGATTATCCTCAAATATATCTCTAATAATATCGCGTTTCGGTTTTGAGTGCGCTGGTAAACCGCGATGTAGATTCTCCATTATCTGCATTCTATTCACATTATGATCCTTGAATCCTTGACTTAGGAATTCAATATTTTCGTTGTCATCGATAGCTTTCATTGTGGCCAACAGTTTCTCTTTGTTGTAATTAATTGTTCTTTTCTTTTCATTTGTTTGTTTTACCTGTACTATCTCGCTCTTTGCGCCATTAGTCTGCTCAATCTGAGATACATCAACGTTTAATGTAGTGTTCAATTTATTTTGCGTTTCTATGTTGGCACCAGGTTTATCTAATGTTTCTTCATTATTGCGGTGTATTATACTGAATGTTTCGTCTTTAAGCTTAAAATATTCTTTTTCTAAATTATGCACAGGCCGAATGCTCCCATCTAAATGATTCAATGTAGATTCCTTTTCATAAGCTTCCCGTGAGTCCTTCTCAACCTTCTTTCTTTCCAATGTCGACAAATTTTTCATTTCTTCGTATGCATTGTCTGTATCATGATAAACTTTATCACATGACATGTCAGCATATACTGACTTTTCTTCCAAGTATCTTATTTCTTTTTTTTTTATACAATCTTCTTTTTTCATATCTGTGGAAGAGTCATCTATTCCATTACTTTCTAAAAGTTGTCCTTTGTCCAGCCATGTTCTGTTTAAGTTTGAAGATTGTTGAGGAACTTTTACATTTTCTAAGCTTGTATCATCCGAAATATTATTAGATATTCTCGGTAACTGTGCATCCTTTAATCTCCCAATAGATTGTTTTGCGATGTCCAAAGCATTGTGTTCTAAATGAGTGACACTATTAAAAGATTTACTGAACTGCTCTTTAGCGAACTTAGATAAACTGGTTTGAAAATCATTGGTTTTATATTCAATGGGAGAATCTCTATTCATATTTATCTTTCCTTCGGAATCAACATCATTTTCAGAACCGCTATCATAAAGATCATTTTTTCTATGATGTAATAATTTTGTTTCACTGTGGTTTTGAAATATTAAATTTTCCATTAGACGTGTGCTTAACTTTTCTTCTTCCTCCTCATTGCTGTCTACCTTTTTCATTATATCGTCCAAAGTATCATCTGTACTGTTAATCAGTCTATAATACAAGACACAAGAGTAAAAAATTAGAAGATCGTTATATTAATTATATTAATTAGACACAGAAAATAAATATACTACATAAAAAGATTTAATTATATAACATTGCTTTACATGATTTCTTATGAAAAATATAGTTTTGTAATATGCATACCTTACATACAACTCTCTAGATTTTTGTGGAGTATCGTAAGACTGATTGTAATATTCACAAGCGTTTCCACTTTCTCCATCATCAGATGAATAATCGAATTCAGCGCTTAGTTCTTTCTGTAATTTTTGTGTATTCTGATTTTTTATTTTACTAAATAATTTTCTTAATTTGCCACTTTCACCTTGATCATTATTTAATTCATCTTTCTTCAATATTGATTTATAATTTATCGATATGACTTTTTCATCATCATGCGCACTTTCAGAATCCTTTGACCTAAATCTTAAGTCATCCATAGAATGAGCATTTTTACGCATGTGTGGCGATCTTTGTAAACGAAATTTTCGTATCTGTTGCAAACTTGCCATTGTTTCTGACTTTAACTGATCTACCGATTGATTGTGATTAACATTATTTGGCTGAGTTACTTTTTCGTCATCATTGGATTCCAATATGTCAAGTGATGGCTGCAATTACATTAAATTTATAGAATCTTAATGCTTAATTATGCTTAATCGCATATAAATAACAAGCTTACCAAATTATCCTTTGACCCATTTTCACTCCTTTTACTTCTGTTAGACGATTTAATTGGATTAGAGATGCTAAAATACAGAGCCTGCATATAAATACTTTTTACATTATGAGAAAAGATGCATATATATAA